CGAATGATTGATTGATGTGATCAGTTGCACACTGCTCACATTCGCCACTAGTGATTGCTCACCAGATAGGAGTGATCTAATCACCATATGGCTGTCTAAGTTGTGTCAGACCAGGTACACAGCTGATCGGGGCGAGCCGAAACAAGTGAAAAACTCACACACTCTTGAGAGAAGAGGAAAAATACGACTAGATACATAATTGATAAGAAAGCTAAAGAGTTAGTATACTAACGTTAAACTCAGTTAATTTTATATACTGGGCCATATTCATTCACTGATTAGGTGGTAAATGTCAACATTTTAATAGTTTTTGTTCAAATAGCTATAAACGAGCACTATTCAAGAGTCTGTACTATAGAGCTCGGAGAATATCCTCCACAGAGAAGTTAGAGGAAGAATTTCTGATTCTTGAAAAGATCAAAAGTTCATCAACAGATACGGAAGATCTGAAGGCTTAAATTTCAAACAAATCACAGTGGGGTAAAAGCTTGTCTTCTTTCAACTTGAATTTAAAGGTAAAAATATTACAGCAGTCGTCAACAGAATATTGAGGGCGTCACTAGCCAGAGCCTATCATGAAGCTAAGCTGGTTCCCGTCCATCAAATTACTTGATCTTTAGTGCAATCAAAAGTCGATAGACATCCTCCTCTCCAACTGTATACACAAATTTGCATGTATCTGCAAGAACAGTTACACTGGAAGAACAGAAAGAAGGCCATACCTCCAATTTTCTGAACATATATCAAATACTCTATGTCTAAATGAAACAAATGCTTTGAACAATGACATTGCCAGGCATCTCTTTGACACGCTTTATGAGATGGACGTCGAAAGACCGTTTAAAATTATCAGTAGGCAAAAGAGCTCAGTTCTCTTCAAGTTTGCTGAAGCCATCTCCATCAAGCGCCTGAAACCTGATTCGTGGGTTCAGAAAGAAACTGTTATCAGTCTTTCTTTACTTTGGTAACTGCATATTTTCACCTCTCTTTCATCTGAATACGTAGTGCCAAAAGTTTCCATTGTGTATGATTATTATTTTTTGGGAATTGTGCTGACTCGTTACAATTATATTATTAACGGTTTTTACAAGCTAAACAAGTAAAATCTAATAGCATATGCTATTAATTTACGTATGACAGACTGACTGACTGAGTTTCACCCTAGAAATTTGCACAGGAGTGCAGCAGCTCAAGTCCCCGCACTCCATAAAGGACACAAATGGTAGTGAAAAGAGAAAAAAAGAACTTCAAAAGAATTATAATGAGCGGAAATTTATGAGAGAAAGAAAAGTAACAAGGGAAAACCATGAGGGTATAATGGATATAAGAGAAGACGAAGAGTGAATTCATCTGCACCAGTGAGGACTACTCTGATTCATATCACTAATTAGTTCTCAGTATCCCTATAACCCCAAACAAGCAGTTTACATTCCCTATGTGACTGCCATAAACTTCATTTGTTGATGACACTTTTTTTTACTTGACCACCACCCCTAACTCTTTATCAACTCAACTTAATTCTATGTTAGCTAATATTGTTCGACGAGGAAGACAATAGCTCGCCATGCATCATACATGTCCTACCCATCTCAATCGATATAGCTTCACAACCTAATTGACTGTTTTTCCCTCCTTAACTAACACTATGCTAAGCCTCAATATTACCCACCGTATTATATACCACTTAACATGGAAGTTAGGACGCAACTGTCTGTCGGCGAACACAGCTAACCTTTTCATAACTTTCATTTTCAATGGCCATGTCAAACAGTCATGAAGTGTGGACAGAGTGAACTACTACTGCACTGTACACACGTTCTTTGACCGAATATATATATATTGGTGACAATGTCACCAGGGTTGATACACGTATTCTTAAAAATTACATCAACATAAAAAATGAAAAGGTTATTTTTCCTACAAAAGGTCAACTCAATTATTTAAAGTAGTCAGTAGTATTCAAATAATAATAATAGTAGTATATATTTAAGTAGTAAATAGGGTTATTCGCCTTAATAAAGAAATACGAGTGAGTATTTAATTGGTGGATGGTGACTAGCAGTGGAATCCAGGGTGCACATTTCGTCCTATTTGGGACTCATCAACTGGATGTACCAGCATTTCCCAGTGAGTGATGATGTTCCCACCGAGGCTCGAACCCAATACCCGTAGTTTTAAACGCCATCGATTGATCCAATCGACGGGAAAATCTCCAATTCAATAAAATTAATATGACCCATTGCACAAGAGGTGGCTTCCGTGGCCCAAGTGGTCTAGTGGATAACGCTTTGGCGTTTAAAACTATGGGTATTGGGTTCGAGCCTCGGTGGGAACATCATCACTCACTGGGAAATGCTGGTTGATGAGTCCCAAATAGGACGAAATGTGCACCCTGGATTCCACTGCTAGTCACCATCCACCAATTAAATACTAATTAAATGCCCAGACATCATTGAAGCATCTGCACAAGAAGCCGACATGTCAACCTGAAACCGAACACTTCGGTCCAACCAATCGATGGGAAAATCTCAAATTCAATAAAATACGAGTGAGGTTTGCCTATTACAATCACAACTTATCTGCTATTATAAAAGAACAATGTGGAATAATCTGTCCCAGTTTTACTACAAGTGATATTTAGTACTTCTTTTACTCCACGGAAGAATGATCTGACCTCAAGCCTAATCAATTCAACTAATCGATAATAAGAAGGATGAAAAATAGTTGAAACAAGAAAAACAACAACAGTTACAGTTATATTTACCTATAGGATATTTATATCAAATTGTCTACTGAGAAGACAGGAAGTAGAACAGACACATACCAATATATATATATATATATATATATATATATATCACCGTTTAATGTAGAAATCCAATATCCATGATCCCAGATAGATTAGAATGATTTTTCCGTTCATACTATTTATTAGTTAGAATCTCAAATACGGACAACCAGCCTCTTCGCACATAAATATATACCCGATGGTTAAGATATCCCTTAGAGGATAAATATTCTTTCTTAATCGTAGAATTCTGAAACATACCATAGTCACAAACTAACTGATTGTTTGTAGTTTTCAGTTGTTTCAATCAACAAGAAATCATCCTTTTAAATGAAGCTTTGTTGTTACCATTCCCTAAGTACAGCACCAATTATTGAGTTCCGAATCAAGTCCTTTCATGAGTAGTGAACACTGTCTAGGAGTCCCAAGATGAGACAAAAACACCTGATATAGAGATTTCCTTGATTTCTAATAATCCACTAAGTAGTGTTAGTTCATGACGAGATCCTCATGATAACTGAATGAATAAAGTTCAGAATAGCATATCACTTGCGTCTGTAGAAGAGAAAGATCGGCAGCCTGATGAATCAATGAAACGATCTATTTACAGAAAACCTACCTGGACAGGACAATATCTTAATTACCACAGCTTCTCTCCTATTCGGTGCAAGAGAGTCTTAGTGAGGTGTCTTCTTTGGTAGAATCTAATGAATTTGCACAGGAGACACACTTGAAGATGAAGAAAGAAAATTCTGGCTGATAATAATTATCCAGAGAAGTTCATAAGGAGACATAAAGTGGTCAGAACACTAAGACCCACTCTCCAACTCCCTGCTAAGAAAGAGGTATATTTCAAGCTACCCTATTTGGTTGAGCATAGCAGCTTGGTAACCAAAGATTGAACATTTCAGCTAAGATCAGAATAATATAAAATGTGAAACCCTCAGAACATACAAAAAATTGAGTCACATCTCACTATATCTATTAGTTTACGTATGGCCACAGATACATAGAGAGGACTCATCGATCTTTTCAAGTAAGGGTTTCAGAGAATTTACATAAACTTAACGTATTGCTAAATAGTGATAAACAATATCATTAATTATTTGCATTAATAATTAATTTTTCTGTGTGAATTTTCCGTTATAAGGGATAAAAATAGTAAGAATAATTACTGGTTCCAAATGAAGTTTATAGGATGAGGAAAAAGAAAAGAAAAATAGGAATGATGATTAACAAAAACACAGTAAAAATACATATTAGTTAAATGAAATTAGTCACAACAGTAAATACCTGAACTAATATCACTTTCAAGTGCATTTTACATATTTAATTAAAATTATTCAATCAGTTCTCATTTGTCATTATTATTATTATTATTATTTTGTTGTTATTATTTCATTCCTTTACGTCCCGAGTGGAACAAAGGGCTTCGGGCTAGAGCTTTGAAGTTCCGGTAGCAGGGGTTTTAATTTTTGCAGGATGGGGTTGCTAGATTGACGCTCAACCTTCCCCACTGACCGGCCTTACTAATAGCCTAGCGAGGTTCAGGAGTGAATCGGCCGATAATCGAACCCCAAACTATGTGCGTAGTTGGCGAGCGTGCTACTGTTGTAATAAAAATAATTTATTCGTTATTATTAGACTATTACACCAATCCCTTCTCTCTCCCTCTCTCTCTCTCTCTGCCTCTCGATAAATATAGATATCATCAACGTAAAAACAGTGCTTGTCTTATTCATTAGCCTTAAATAAAATTAAATGCGCTAAACTGAATACTCTATGAAATACATCCTGAACTGAAATCACCGAGAGAGCTGCTAAAAACCAGAGAATGCTGGACAGCTTATTCATCCTAGCTTGAGACTCTTTGGAAATGCACACCCGTGACTGTATTGTGAGGGTTGAATTCAAGACCTTGTAACTTGAAGATCTTGAGTTTCATCCATGAAGATTCGCAAACTAAGATGAAACAGCTATCCAGTAGTAGTTCATGGTTTCTAGTATTTGTTTTTCTCACTAATGTCAACCTGTTGTCTAATTTAGAAATCAATTAAATATCTACCAAGCAATATTTAAAAATAAAAATGCAATAAACATTAAAACAAACAAATCAACGAATGTTAAATTTATCAAGATATTTGAAGGATATTGAAGTAAATACAAATAATAATGATGATAATATATAAGTTGAGTAGTATTCTTCACTTACATTTTGTATACAACGCCAGAAGTAGTGATACACCAGCAGCAACCATTAGAACTATCAGAGTAACATCTTGTAAAGCCTCCCACATAAGTTGTAGAAAACTTTTCGGAGGTGTAGGCGGTATAACATTGGTCCCAAATACTTCACGACGTTTAGTAAGATCTTGACTTGATATGCCTTTAGAGAAGTAATAAAAAATAAATATATAAATGCATATAAGGATAATGTAAAGTTGTCTGTATTGACGACAGAAAAGTTTTACGTCTGATGAAACATTTTCATTTTAATATATTCTAGATAATAGTTAGAAGAAAAAAGAGGGGGGACTAAAGATTTGTTATTTCATATAAGCTCACTGATCATGCTAATAATCACAACACTTTTATTTGCTTTATACTTAGTGATTACTCCAGTAAACAACAGATTCTAAGTATTAACATTATAATTTTGAATGTCATGAATAAAATTATTACACTTGGAGTGTGATAATAAGCATTGCCAAGAGGTTATCGCAGACTTGCATCAGCAGCTGCTTCACACTGGTGATCAGATAGCCTACCACAAAGGATAAGCAACAAGGAGCTCCGACAGTGCAAAAGATCAACCAGGAACATGCGGACCAACAAATTTGTAAAAGGAAATAAAAATGGATGGTACATAGGAACCTAAATAAGAAACGCCGAGTTGGACATTCGAGAATGACACGGATGAGAGTGTATGAGAAGTAAATTAAAGCTTATGGGTAGTTCTAGAGTCGGTTAAAAAAAGACTACATAGAAGAGAGTGGTATGGCACTGTGTTGCTGAAACCTTGTGTTCCACTAGGTACTCAAGGAACAAATAAATAAATATGAGATTTTCAACTAGTTTTTTTTGTTGATAAGACTATCTGAAACAATATTGGCTTGAAGCAAATATACTGGAGTAACGGTTAATGACTGAAAGTTAACTATGAAATTAATTCACAAAAGAATTGGGTTGTAATCTGATGATGTATGAATCCTAACTCCTATCACTTCACTATATGGTCGTCAGACTCGACTTATAACCTCAAGATCTTGAGTTCAGTTTCTGGTGTAGCTGTCGGTGAACATTACTGAAGAGTCCTAAATTAACAGAAAAGAACTGTTGACTGTTCCCTACCTACAGCAGTTGATCATCTGATGTCAGTTCGTAACGAAATCTACACTGAAATAAACTTAGTACGAGCGATAAACAACTTGAATAGACTAAATTTTGAATATCAACAGAGCAATTTTCTACGTCCAGTAAGATTTTGATGCCTGTTAATATTTACTTGTAAGATGAATAAACGAAGATTCTAGATGGTTATCGTCAACCTGTAACAATTTTTATCTAAGTTAACAGCCTTCTGAGTAGCTTATTCAACTACCTATGTATGTCAGACAGTAATCAGCCTCACTACATCTATGCCCACATAAATATTACCGCAAACATATTTGAAGGTATATAAAATTCCAACACACTATATGCCATAATGAGCGCTGATATTATACCTATAAACAGTTATCTATAAGGTGAAATACACTAACATCTTTAAGTAATATACAACAAGTGAGGCTGTAAATGACAAGCATTTGGGGTCTTCTTTTTAGCAAAGATTCGTTATTCAGTAGGGTGATTGAACTTTTCTAGGCAATGAGATTAGTATTGTAAAAGTATCACTGTAATGGTAACATTGTGACTAGAGAAGCTGTAGAACATGAAGTCTACCATTGAATATTGAAAGTTCAGAATAGTGGCGGATTTTCATTTCATGCCAGTTGGTACATTTGTTAAGAGTATATCAGTGTAAAGTAACATAGAACTAATAAACTAAAAGAATGAAGTTCGTAAATAGCTTATTCTACATCGGTACAATTGAACTACTCGTTAACCGCTATAAAGTGATAACTACATGTTTTGGTTTAAGTTATTGAGATATATTCTTCCCTTATCTTTGACGGAATAACCAGCTAAACTTTTTTATTGACTTTGTTATTTTCTGCTATTTGTTCCTACCTGATAAATGTATACAGTCATAAGAGGTTAGTAATGTTCACAAAAGATAAAATTGATTTTTGTTACCTCACTTTCAATGAACAGTTTACATCCACTTACAAAATGATGATTAGTCAACTAATTCTTCAATAATTTTTCTTATTATTCTATTGATATGAGCATTATGATTCAAAGTGAATGAACTAAACTGAATGAGACATATTACTTTAGAGGCGTCAGACTTCAATTCTTGAAGTAATAATTTTTTTGGCTTTTATCGAATACTTTTAAACAGTGAAACACATTTTGTTTTTAAAAGAGAGACGAAAAATTAAGTTTATGCAAAGATATTACTTATTTCTTAGTCTACTTGCCTGATAACTTATACGAAATCATTATTAGACAGAATTTAATGTTTGAAAATTACTAAATTATAAGCTTATGTCTATACCAGGACAACATACCTAAGAACTTCTTTCTAGACATTTCTAAATGTAATTGCTAATAACTAAAATATCTGTTTACATGGAATTGCTTTTATAAGACTTTTAAGTTTTAAGCCCACCATCTTGGAATAATAGTGGATCTTTTTTCTTCATTACATTATTCTAAAAATATGAAAATATGCTTTGAAAGTCCCTTAATTTATTACGTCTATATTCTGAAATAAAAGTGCAGTGTTGTTCACATCTTAGTTTGCCTTTTTCATGCGCAAATATAGCTACCTCCTTGTATCAGCCTAGATTTAGTCGTAGGTGAAGTATATGAAAACAGTTTAAAAAACACATTCGACGAAACACTCCCCAGTCAGAATAAGTAATGACTTGCAAAAACTTCAAATGAAGGAAGAAGCCGTTGATAACTACATTCTAAGACCTACGATGAAAGTGGGATATAGAAGCAGATGTCTGACCACCATCTGAGCTGACATTTACCATCTACATGTTTCGTTATATTGAAAAAATAATTATTAGAAACAACAAAATCAGAGTAAAGGTGATGAATCCAGTGCTAAAGATATCATTAATTCTGATGATGAAACGACCGCTACCAAATACCAAAGCTCAAACAATACCAAACAGTTTCTATTTTCATCCTAAGCTACATCACTTCACTATAATTGCATGGTTTTCAAAAAAATATAACCACCCATTCTTAATATTAAAACTATAGATAAGATAGAGCAAAGTTGTAGACCTAAAGGCACTTGTTAACAAAACTTCTAATAGTTATTGAAGTAGCATTCAGTAACTGTTCATCGAATTTGAAGTCCACAGAAGTCAATAACAAGAAAGAGTACGTCTCCAGCTCATTTTATGCATATCTTCTAAAAATGGACAAACTATTCAGGTTGCGCAGCCGAAAAATATAACGAAATTTGAAACTGCACGACATTCTTCAAACTCTGAACTTTGGTCTTAGACACTTCGTCGGCAGACTTTGCAGTGTCATAATCCAAAACTACAAATCTTATCTATAATATCCTAAATGTGATGCTGTAGGATGTTTGTGCCTGAGATCTGTAGATCAGCAATCTCTGAAACGATAATGTTACTATTGGCATTTAAATTATGACAGTCTTGAGTATGTTACTAGGAGGAATGCATTTATTTAGGTGGAATAACCACTATTTTACTGAAACGTATTTTTTGACTTTCTTTATTGTGGCTTCAGAGTCAGATATACATGTACAGTGCCCTTAGTTGACACACAGAAGTACCACTGTTATACTTCTGACCATCAAAATGCACTCACTTTTTGGCATATAATGTTTACCAATCTGAACAACAAACGATGGATGATAAAAACTGTGAGCTGAATATCCAAAAATCGGGAATAAAAATGATTGTTGTTTAATAAACTGAACATTGTAACCTGAAGATAGACTCTGAATGATAAAATCCGTGTATTTAAATTCATCTAAACGGATAATAATAGTTAAGTTCCTTTACCTACTACAAACTAAGAAGAGATGTTGAAAGTCTGAAAACGTTTGCCAGTGCAACTATAACTGCTTTGTTCTTGCTGGCTACTTAGCATACATGAAGGCGCACCTGTCACGTCATGTAACTGTAAGTGTCAGATGAAATACACGCCAACAAAATTAAATGGTTTCATTTAGGTAGGAGTAATTTTAATTGTCTAAACCTAGATGACAGCGATAAGCTTTTTGTGAAATGTAGGTAGATACCTTTCTGGATACATGGATACGACATCCTGAATTCAATAGATTTTTCCACCATACCATACGCCTGCTTTTGACAAATTATGTTTTTAGCCTGCGTGATAATACTCCAATACTCATCTAATTATGATTTTTGGGTGTACAAACCAAATTTCAACCTAGTTCTAGGGCATAGCGTAAGTTTATCAGGATTTTTATAGGAATACTATACAAAAGAAAACAAACCAATGGCTTCGAATCATCTAAGGAGCGCTATCTCTGGGAAATCTTATTTAGGGTAACTTATAACTTTGTTGCAATGGGAGACCTTCTAAAATGACCATATGACACCAAATGAAAATAGGGTACAGTATTGTGCGACTGTAAAGTTGCTTATAGAATGAGTGGTAAGGAAACCTTAGCCATCTTTTCAGTAGTTTATATTAATTTTGCTATCGAAGTTGATAAAAACTAAAGTTCGGGGGAATGTTAGAGAAGTTTTCAGACTAAATTAAAAGCAGGATTTAAAATATCAATTTTAAAAACCTAAAACTGCCGAAAGCCATGTAATAGTGGACTACTGGTGTACATGGCAACGCCGTAAAACCTCATTCATTTTATTGGTATTCCAAATGAGAAATACGATAGTCTGAAGCTTTAAGGCCGTAAAACTTTAATGCGAGTAAGTAAATATTTTCTGAAATTGATGTTGATTAAAAATGTTTCTGTAGGACGCCGTTATTTTTAAAATGCATCACCTTAAGTATTGCCGATATCTAAAAGCTGTAAGAACGAGATGGCTCCGTGATAGGACAAGAATACTAATATAAACTGAAAGACTCGTCTTTTATATGGGACCTACAGAAACTGTTTCGAGTCATGTAATATCTCAGAAGACAAACTTATTATGCAACCAATTCAAAAACTATCTAAAGTTAAAACAATTATTTGGGTTTGTTTCTTTAGTATTGGGTGAGTAGTCAGTCGTTCAAAACCTGCTGTGTTTTGCCCCTTTTCCATAAATACATACATGAACTTAAACGTGACTTCTGTTTCTAGGGGTGACAGAAGCTAAAAGCATCAATGGTCTGGTAAACAAAGACTAGTAAAAGTATTAAGAAACTTTTGTGGAGAAATGTTTATGAAACTCTATAGTGACTCCTGTGAGTCATATTCCCATTTTAACCTGCCTACGTACCATCAGTTGGAGAAGTTCGAAGGCGCTTGCACAGTCCAGTAGCTCCACCATATCTTTTGTTCAAAATTTCGACTCCCTCCGCACCACGGAGCTGCATGAGTCCTTGCAGTTCCCGCATAGAACAACCAAATTCTGACGTTGAACTGTAAGCATTGTCCGTAGATGTACGCTCACGCATCTTGATTGATGAACTTATGTATTCAGAAAATAATAAATAAATAACTTTTCAAAATGAAGGAATTTTGTTATGACGTATATTATTCCATATGCATGAGGAAGCAACTACGTTGGCATGTTTGAAATGAATTAAACGCTTTAATATTTAGTTCACAAATGATAATTTAAAGTATTAGTGGTTGCAGTAAACTCTGTGATTCTGCCAGTGATGTAATAATGAAATTTCCCGCAGACTCCCCATTCGAAACAGCGGACGCAAGAGTTGATATAGTTTGATAGATTTAAACAAATTTCATGTAAATTTTTGTTTTTACAAAAACATAACGTAAATAACGCGGTCGCTAGTTCTTTAAAAATCTCTGTGTGATTTGTCACCCGCATTCCTTTGCATAATTGTTAATTCATAAGTGAAGCCAGGTTATAAGTTTATCAATCTTTTCTTTCTCTGAGAGAAGGAAATTCCATCCCACTGACGGACGTTTAGGTGATGGTCTTATCTGTTCTCCCTATTGAATTACAGAGTGTCTACTGTCTTATCATGATGAAATCATCCCCAGCAGAGGGTTTCATCAGTTAGTTTCGTCTAGGAACACGAAATAATCTCAAGTAATTTGATTGTGAACTCTGACAAAACTAAAGGCAAGATCGTTCAAGACACAACAGAAGTATCAAAACATAACGTGACATACAGTCTGAGGTTTTGGCGTGACAAAATGTTTACAGCGTAATTTGAAAAGCCACATAAGAGATCTTACAATGTCTCAAACTGTCTTAATCAAGGTTTTCAACTAGCAACTTTTCATGAGCTGACTAAGAACCACAACTTAACTTGACGTTTGTTACTTAATACACTCATGAACAACCATATCACTAACACAAGATTGTTTCAGTGGGGTAGTAAGGATGTCTCTTAATATTCTGACCTATGAATTTCTTTTGGATAGCTGGTTTGTAAGGATTGGATTTATCTGTACGAGCTTGCCCACGGATCGACATCAGTTAGAGAACCATTGAAAACCAGGGAGTACTGGACAGCTGTTTCATCCTAGTTTAAAGGTCGTGGACAGTACGTACTCACAACCAGGCCTCCAGCCCAGAACCCTCCGGCTACAAGGCAAGCTTGCATGCCATTCAGTCACTGAGAGCCGATTCATTGGCCAGCCCATGAATTCTAACCTCCAACAATTCGTGTTTTGGCTCAATCGCCAACCAGTGTCATCGACGGGACGTCTATCCTTATAAACTTGACTGGACGGACCTTACTGGTCACGACTTGTCACTAGAACTCTATAAAACTCTGTCCTGTAGCAAGTCACTAACGTGTATCAGATTAATTTTCATTAGTTTCAATAATAGTTTTCAATAATTTCTACACAAAACTTTTATTCACAAGAGATACATTAGTTTAACGTTGCCTTTCTGAAAGAATTAACTTTATACCTTACAGCGTTCCCGACTACACTCTTCAATATGTCTTTCTCACAACCTTATGTGGGCGATTCGTGTCCGTCTGCTAAATCACCAAGCGGAAAAGCAATTAATTAGCTTGGTATAATCCCTACAATCGTTCTTGTATGTCGTTCAAGACTTAACCTCAGTAAGTACCTAGTTTCTGATGACATCCAACCCTCACTGCTAAAACTGCACACAAAAAACCCTGTGCTGACCCCTTGAAATCCTGTTCTACCACCCTGTATTCAGAGAAGCCACCTATGGAGTCAAAGACAGTAGTTGTTTATCGTGTATTTAGTGGTGGGTGTCGGCAGAACAGTTCAAAGAAGAGCATTAAAACGGGCCACAGCCCACCAGAACAAGCCTAGTGTTGAGATGTTGAACCAAACAGATCATTCCACGCTTACATACCATAGGCTTATGGTCAACCAAACCACTGCATACAGGATCACAAATTACTAAAATCACCCAAACAAAAAATATTCTGTTATTAGGTATATATGAAACTCATTTAGGGATATGCATTCAAAGATTCTAATTCGCTCCTACTTCTTTTCTCCTCTAGTCTGACGGTACCAGCACTTTTTATCATCGTAAGTGGCTACCTCACTATCAGTGGAAGGCCTTATGAGGAGTGAGTTTGAAATTCACAAACCACGGCCTGTTAATGAGAACCGTCTAAACTCGTGAATCGCCCTTGAGCAGTCAAATTTCTGCCATTCCACCGGTCATTTTGTAAATTTATCCACTTAAGTATTTCGTTATGTTTAATTATCCACCTACTGTTTATCCACCTTTCTTTCCAAGGAAAATATTCCCTGCCAGATATTATATTATATCTTTATTAACCAAACGACAGAGGAGTGGAAGGACAAACCACGACCACAGCAGCAAAATGATCTCAACAAGCCGCAAGCTGAAGACTTCACAAAGAATACCATGGCCACCCAGATGCAGATAGTGGTCAAGGAATTCACAAAGACGCGACCAGTAACCAGGCGAGAATTATAAATTCCCTGTGATTTTTAACGTTTATCTTCCCCACTGAAATACGTTGGATAACAAAGGCCCTTCAGTGTGCTTGACTAGTCTCCTAGCTTCACGTGCCCATGAGCGTCCTGAGAAAAGCGAGCGAGTCTTCCAGAAAATAAAGACTGAAACCACAAGGGACAACTTCAGCGCAAAGTGGGAGTAAAGTCGGAGACGCCTTTGCGGCAACTCTGAGAAACACTGCAACTCCCTGAGAGTAACATTCAAGGAAACGTATATCGCAAACTTCTGAAGGGGGAATTCGGAAGACAATGAATGGTTCTCCACATACAACTTGTCAGCAAAGTCTCGTAAACCGTCAATGCCCAGCTCTTGCTGCACTCGGGCTCACGCTGTTCCTTGAAGTTTCTCAGAAACGCTTAGTAATAACGGACGCAAAAACCAAAACACCAATTGGCGACTCTAGAATTCTTTATTGTAACACCAACATATAAACACTGTTACAACTAAGGTCTGTGAACAAATATTACAATAATAAATCACAATATTACTTCTGACGGTTTTCTGCTGACTTCTTTCTGAACAGCGACCGATGAGACGATGACTGTCGTATTGATGCCTCCGCGAAAATTGGGGAAGTTGGGTTTGAGCAAACAACCATGAATTGATCGTTCAATCTTCAACTACATTGACACTCCCCGGCAAAAAACAGATCCATCCCTTTTTTCCATCACGACCAATACACGTTGACTTGGATGCCATTGCGAGAACCTGGGTCACACGGACAGAGCTGAAATGGAAAACAAACAGAAAAGCCAACACACCACAAGCATACCCACAGCACAATCTCACACATCAATGACGACCTGCGCCTTCCAGTTAAAGGCATCCTCTTGACACCTGCAAAATCGCCACTTGCTAGAATGACTCTTGCAGAATGCAACGTGACCATAGCACCAACTCATGATACTCTACGCACATCCTCTTATCTACTCACTACCAATTACCACTGAAATCGCTTGTCACTCATTCTGCCTCAGTTCTAGTAACGGTGACGTATGCGAGCCTCAGTCGTTTACACTCTTTCTCCCCGGCGTGTGGGACCGCAGCTAACAATTATCTCCGTGTGCATTTCATTCTCAGCAATAGCCTAGCCTCCCCGGCGTATACGACCCATCTGCTGTCCTTAACATCAATCAATTCATTCACGGATGTAGAAGACTCGAAACAACTTCAGAAGTAATCACGACGAAAATTTTAACAAAATTACGCAATAACAACAAGATACGAAAACAACAAGTAAACACAATGAATCCAAAAACACCAATTGATATGACACACCACACGTATATACAAACAGTACACACAACTCGCGGATCATGTCTTGATGGAATTCCTTTGAAGAATTTCAGGACTTACACCAGTACGCCTACAACCCTTCACAGGTTGACGATTGTAAGTTGTGGAATGTCCGGACACAAACAAGATTAACCAACAATTACAATAATTGGAACTCACACAATTATTTAACACAAACATATGTACAATCAACACATCAAATGTTGTGGATTCTGGCACGACAAACTACCCTTGAAGAACTGTAGGACTTACAGCAGTACGCCTACATTCCTTCTCAGGTTGATGATCCAAGTGGAAGTCGTCCGGACACAAACAGAATTACCAACAGCTAGATGACAGATGATATCAATTCAGTATATACAATATGAACATATGTACAAAATCACACACCAAGCACATTGGACTGCTCATTGATGCGCTACCCTTTGAAGAATTGTAGGACTTACAGCAGTACGCCTACAACCCTTCTCAGGTTGACGCTCTAGGTTGGAAAATCGTCTAGTGTTTCATCCTCCGACTCTCTACTCTCAGCACCTTCCAGTAGACACAGTTTTCTGATATCTCGCACCAACATGCCACAACTTGTTCTCACCTCAACCGTCCTCACCAATCCATCACCACTACAGATCAGCCTTACTACCACTCCCAAAGGCCACCTACCTGTGGCACATTTATCTGCTACTAATACTATGTCACCAACCTTTAAGTTTCGGCACAACTTTTTCCACTTGTCTCTGGTTTGCAGTGTTAGAACATACTCCTTTAACCATCTTTTCCAAAATATATCTTTCATGTGCCTGGCTTGTTTCCATCTTTTAATCGTAGGTATTCCTTCCCCGCTTGAGTCCTCTATGCCAGGGTTGCCTCTCAATAACAATAATTTATTTGGGGTTAACACATCAAAATCCTTGACGTCGTCCCTCACAGGTGATAACGGCCGGTCATTTAATATTCGTTCAGCTTCACAAAAAATGTCTCCAGCGTTTCGTCATTCAAACTCTGGTTTTTAATTATGGAGCTTAAAATACGCTTGATAATTCCTATAAGTCTTTCCCATAGCCCGCCTCTATGGCTGGCATGTGGTGGGTTGAAGTGCCACTCGATGTTCCTTTTCAGTAACTCTTCCTGAACTCTCGTTTGGGGACCTTCGAAGTACTCTTTAAGCTCGGCGTGACAGCCAACAAAATTAGTCCCTCTGTC